TTAATAAACCAATTTTTGTAAAATCGATAGTGTGGCATCTAGGAATAATTGAATTGGAATCACATGGGACAAAGGTTGGTATAAAAATAATCGCTTATTGTGTCCTTGTCCACAAAAGAGGAATAAAAACACTCTGGAGATACTATAAAATAGTTTTATTTGTTGCTCGTCATTGAATACAAATATAAAATTTACAAACGACGAAAAATCTCCTTTGGTACATGGTCTACGGTGATAATTCCTCGAGGTACTCGTCTTCTATTGTCGATATTCTAGACGTCCTAAGAGGTAAGCCACTAGATCGGTTAACACAGATACGACGACGACATTAACATTTATACAAATACGTCTCTATATCACAACACCATCTCGACAGTGAGCATCACTAGTCCTAGTGAAAGACATCGCGCGAGGACGGGAAGACTCGGTGCTGGTCTCTTAGGACCTGGGGCCGCCGATGCTCTGGCCGACGACGATGATGATGACTATGAACACGGCGAGTAGCACGAGGATGCAGCAAATCGCGACGGCCACCATGTTGCGTGTTGGTTGGGCGCTCACTGGCGGCGGCGGAGTGCCACCGCCACGCCAGCTACCCGCGCGCCCTCGCAGGGATGAAATATTGATTCGACGGCCCTTGGCCGAACTTACAAGGGGCCGACGGTGACGACGCTGCCGGGACGATCAAAAATCCGAGCTAGGGCTTACGTTGGACAGCTGATTCGGCAATAAACCATCAAAATCAAATACCAACACTGCCGATGAGACAAGATAAAATACGACGTTACGCTACATAGGATAGAGCGGAAGTCAGGCCCAACGGGAGAAAAACAGGGCGCTTTGAGTTGATTTGAGCTGATTAAGTGAGGCTTTATGACATCTAGACTTCTTCTTTAGCATCGGCCTTCGAAATAAAGCCATAAAGTTATCAACCAGTTTTTATTAAATGTTGGACCTCAATTCAAAATTCAATAAGAAACTAATTCACATTTACCTAATAGTTCATTAAAAATAATAATCATTAGATAATAATAAAAAACACGTTTGTAATGATGCGTAATGTCAAATAAGTTAATTTACACCCACATCTAAAAATAACTTTGTTGGCTAAGAGTAGTTACATAGTTTAGCGTAAGATTTAAAAGTTGTAGAGGAAATTGTTGCTGAATAAAAGAAAAACAATTTACAAACACTTTTATAAAATTACTTTTGCAAATATAAGTGTAAATTAAGCTTTAATCAAGGATGGCAATGTGAGTTTCAATTTTTCGAATGGTGCTGAATTAAAATATTAGTTATTTTTTTCTACAAAATTTATGTTCATTGTTTTTAAATAAAGTTTTCTACTCTACAAAACTGACGCGTATTATTTAAATGATATTTTAGAAATTTGACGTTTAAGAGCATTATACAATGAGAAAATTTTAAATTTGTCAAAGTGTCATAGTTTTCAACGATCGCAACTGTACATTTCTAATTGCATAACTTTCCAGAAACTTGTGCTTCAATTTTCTGACCCAAATAATACACGAAAGTACACATATACTCGGATGTGATGTGCATATATATGCGTGTACTTTGATAATATAATCAAGAAATAGCTAATAGGAAACAATTTCAAGTTTAGATTGCAGATATTCCCATAAATGTCACAACAAATAATTAACTTTTATTATGATTGACGTTTGAAACTAAAATTTGAAAGTTAGTTGAAATTTATTTTTGCTGTCAATTTTCCGAAACAATAATAATAATAATATGTGTTTTTATTTAACTTCAACAAATTATTTTGATTTTTTGTAATTTTTTCTTTAGCTATCAAGATAAAATTTACAAAAACCGTTGCCTAAGGCTCCTTTTACATTTTTATGTCCGTCGAATGACAAATTGTCCAAAACCGTGTCCGCCAGTGTACGCATATGTTTGTTTCCAACTTTTTAAACAGTTTTTGAGTCAAAGACAGGTTAGAGTACTTTTATGGCTTGCACAGAAAAGTCAATTATTCAAAAAATTTTGGTTACAAAGTAATTTCTAATACTTATATTCAAAAAATGTCAAATTATAAATTTTTGATTACAGTAGATGTTATAATAATAAAAAATGCGTTTACTTAAATAATTTTATTAAATCAGTAAATGAATCTGTTAGACAAATGTGGGTTATTTTTATTTGATTAAACCACTACACCCATCTATCCTGTTTTTAATCGTTTTATAATCCAAAGTGTGTTTCATTTAATAACACGCATTTATCTGTCCGTAAAATTAATATATACATATAACAATTAATGGTTTTGCTTTAAATAGAGCTGTTTAAAAGCTTATAAATTATAATAAACATAAACGGCAACAACTATAAATATGAAAATATCCGCTTATTTGCCTGTTCTTTTTTAATATTGTTGAACTCTGTGTGTTGTTGCTACCTTAATAATTAAATCATTCTCCCCGTATATAAATATCAATATGTCCGCCTTCACTAAAAATAAAAAACATACTAACTAAAAATAATTAAATAATGATTCAATAAAAAACCTATAGATGAACACAATTGTGTAAAAAATTGTGTCAAAAAATTAACTAACCTAACAATAATTATCAAAATATAAATACTAATTTTTTACTAAAAACAAAAATAGAAATAATTATGATATAAAATAAAATTCTTTGAATATTTTTTTTTATAAAAGACAAATTAAATTTAAATGTAAAGTAAAAACAACAAATATCAAAATATAATGATAATAATGAAAAGTCATTTACTCATAGTTTTGCGTCTACTTTTTTTAGAAAATTATGTTATAAAATATGTCTAATCCAGTGTTAAAAATATAATCTTTATTCCTCTAACACTATCGTCACCAGAATTAAGGTCAAAATTAGGATAAATTGAGTCAGTAGTAACTGTGCAATTGTATGACATCTTTACCAAGATACATTAAAGATCTTGTTGCTTTCTAATATTCGATTAAAAAGGTGCGAGATATTTCCGTTAAGAGATTTACACGATCTAAGCTTATTACAAGCGTTCTATTCAACAGCCTCCGGGTTTACTTTGTCCCACCCCTTTTCTTGATATCATTAGACTTACAAAGCAGTGATCTGTTGTCTATATAGAGATACAGTCTTGCTTATCCAATATGTTTAGGTAAATCGTTTACATACACTATGACTATGAACAACAAGGGTCACGAAATATGTCCTTGCAGTTCATGAATATTAACTTTATCACATTGTTTTGAGTACACAAATCGAATTAATACCAAGAAAATTTCTTTCTTTCCCTTCCCTTGTCTTTGACGTTTTTCCAGAAGCAATCTCGGCCTATAAATCCTGAATCAAGTCTTGCAGATTGCATCGGGCAATTAGTTCAAAGCCGTCGACAATAGGGCGTCGTATGATTAGAACTATCTTGAACGAAATTTATGATGACAGTGGAAGAAGTGGCGTGCAATCTTCTCGAATTCAACGTATACAGGAGATGGCGTGACGGCGCTTTAACAAGTCTCTTAAGGTCGAAACCGACGTCCGCGATACGATATAAACTATAGTTACGCCAGTATCTGTTCTTGCAAATTCACGCTTGTAATCCTGCAAACCCAGTCGGGAAACGCGCTTTCGTAGCCGCAAAAGGAAATCTTGAGTGTAATTACTATCAGATGCGCACATAAACGGACTCTTGAGGAAGTGAAATGATGAACGGGTTAAAAGGCTGATGAAAGGAATACGCAGGATAAGGATAACCGAGAATAGACATCAGGATATGTCACACTGTAAGATCGTTTTAAAAACATTTCCAGTTTTTCATATTTTTTTTTTTACTTAAAATGTTAAACGTAATCTCAAGTACTATTGTAGCTACCCACTGGTAAGTATTATCCATGTAATTATTCTTATTTTGAAAAAAAAGACGTGTTGATATCTTTTCAGTGATTCAAACTACAAAATTTAAAAAAAAAACTGTATCGGCGCATCCATCATTTTCACTAAATTTTAAGCATTCGAAATATAAATTTAATTTCTAGTACAACAGATATAGTTACAATAATTACCATCAACTTCTTTTCTTTTGATAAAAATGACGTCTTTAACTAAAAATTTAGCTAAAATTGATTAAATATAATGCAAACTAACACACATATGCAGTTTTCCCGGCGCATACACCATTTTTACCATAAAACTTGAGTTGCAAGATTATCGTTTAAAGCAGTTGATAATAACTAATATTTTATTTAATATTAGTATTTTTTATGAAAATTATTAATTATAAAAACAAATAATATCTCATATAATTTTTAAATATTCATACAATAACTGAAAAAATGATGTTCTGTATCCCATAGTTAATTTACAGGAGTGTGCGTAATAAATATACAAGGTGTTCAAAAAATCGCGCACTTCCTTAACATTGGGCAGTCCCCCAGAGTACTGAAAAAATGTTTAAAAAATTCTGTCAACAATTTTAACATTTATTTTTTGACATTTGACACTTTTTAAAATCTATTTAATGATACTGATGATCCTCCAGAGTACTGAAAAAATATTTAAAATTCTATCAAAAATTTTAACATTTATTTTCGACATTTGACATTTTTTTAAGTCTATTTAATGATACTGATAATCTTGTACATGTTTTTTTTATAATTATTGACTAAAGGTACAAAAAATTTGTCAACAAAAGCCACAAATAACACTAAACAGAATTACAATTTAGGATACAGCTTCTTTGTTTCCTCTTCTAATTGCCTGTAGCAAAAAACTTGGAAAATTATTTTTCCAACAGAAATAAATAGAGTCATAGTGCAAAATTTAAACTCTCATAACTTCGGAATTTTTAGAGATAGATTTTTTTAACATTTTTCTTGTTGTCTAGGGCACCGCCCGATGACACAGTGTCACGGAAGTGCGCAATTTTGTGTAAACATCCTGTATATTATGATATTTATTTCACCATTAGTTATTTTTTACAATTATTAAAATATTTTGTGAATGTATTCTTACCACTGGTAACCTGAAGACATATAGCTTGGAGGCAGAGGATCGACAGAACAAGACTTCTCCCTGAGGTGTGCCGGTGTGCTGGGGCCATACTGTGTCCTGAAAAACGTCCACAAAACATTACATGTTGCCAACACTCATAATTTATCAATTAATTTATACCGAATTGGACAGAAGACAGTTTTTACAGCTATTAATTTCAATCAATAGGGTGCGCAACGTATTTCCGTATAATTTATGCATTAACATTTCAACCAACTGTGCAATCAAAACGTGAACAAACCACATTTTTAATACATTACGAAATTAAATTAAAAAGGACACAAAGACACGTCCTCGACGACGTGAATTATCACATCGACACCATCTGCAGCATCCGAAACAACATAAATATTGGACAATCGAGAGTTCAATTTCAACTCCAAAACAATATATAAACTAGATTTCTATTTGAAACAAAAGATCGTAAATTTTAAGTTTGGGGTGTACCTATTCAAGTGTTGCATGTCTTGTACGACTTGAAATAAATTAGATTTGTTTAGACAAACACTTAAAAATAAAATTGATTGCTCGAATACAAAATTTAAAAGTATAAAATGTGTAAAATTGCAAATAGAAAAATCAAATTATAATTTTAACACTCTTCCAAATTAATTAAGTTGAGATTGACATGAGTTGTTTAAAGATTTTTAATAATATATATGAAGATTGAAGGCATCAAACAGAGACAACAATTACGAGATGTATCACTATACATAATATATTATAGTTACAATTCCACTAATTTTAATACTTTTCCAGAATCTAAATTACATTAATTTTAACCGTTTCTGTTCTCTCTAATAGGCTGGTACATTAGATTTAGTAGTTGTTTAGTTAACAATTAGACAATGTCCGTGATATCTGACATTCATGTTGTCATCTAATTAATAGATTGAATAGTAATCATCTTCGTGACCACTAAACAAGTAAAGCTAATTCCTGTTAATAAGCCAATTCCAGTTCTACATAAATTTTAGAGTTTCGACCTAGTGGTTTACATGTGAAAATCACTTTCTTCAATTAGTCTAACTTAATATAAATTTTAATATTATTGATTTCAAACTAAAAAAATACATAAACGTTTTTCGTTAAAATAATGATTCTGTTGAATCGTATATTTACGTATTTTAAAGAATAGTTTAAAACAGTAAAATACAATTTTCAGCAAATCGACTTTATTCGTTTGAGTCTACAAACTCAACGAGAAGATCAAGATTTTACCAGTATTTGCCATTTATATAGTGTTACATTTTAGTTACTTTGATAGATTGTGTGTTTGCGTGTTGCTTATCCGCACTGATAACCGAGTAATTTACATAAATATCAAGCAAGCAGACAAGTTTTTATCTCAGAAATACTTGAAAGTTTAGTTTTAACTACTTTCAGGGTAGCTAGAGTAATGCAAATCATGGCCTTATTTCCTAAAATAGAATTATTTAAAATGTAATATTTTACCTTTTACCCTTGTGACTCTATTTAATGATTGTCAAAAAAATGCTCCTTTTAAAGTAATTAAGTAATGTCTCTTTACAATAGAGACAGATTCTCCTTTGATTTAAAGCGTTCAAAGTGAAACAGTTTTTGAAAAGTTAGAGCATTAATAAAATTAGTGCCATAAAATAAAATTACCGGCTCCATTTGAAAATGAGTGAAGGTACTTTCTTTTTAAATCCCAGGATTTATTTTGATAACTAAGTTTCAAAAGTTCGTAAAACAAAGAAAGCAAACTTTCCACTGAAATAAAACTGATAGCCAAGTTTTATCTAACAATTTTCTAACCTGCAAACTAATAGTGTTAGGGCAAAGAAACTTTGTCAATTACGAACATGAAACTTTTAACTCACAAGGAAAATAAAACTTTGGTGTAAATACTGTCAGCAAAGAGATACGAAGATGACGAAAATAAGATTGACAGTAGAAGTGATTTTAATTCGAGAAACGAAGAGTTTTCATTAAAGACTTAATGCAAGAAGACAAAGAAAATCGACAATACATTAATACAAGAAAATTGAAGAGACGTGCATTTACGTGTTTCTCGCCTAACAAAAATAATTGTATTACTCAAATCTAATGCAATGTCAGAATAATTTAGTGTTCCAAGAGATTTAATTGGGTCATTTATCATCTGACAACTCTTTAATCATTAGAAAAAAGAACATCCATATCAATAAAAATATTAATAAAGCCGCTTTATCGGGTGTCAACTAAGCAAGAAGCGAAATTTTTATGTTTACGATTTGCAGGTGGTGATGGGCGTAACCATCACAGATAAGAGAAAAAACCGTAAATCCGATCCTGCAAAACGTCCTTTAAAAGGACGTCTCCGACTCCTCGTAGATCAATAAGGTTTATCAAGTTTGGCGGAATCCCGAGAGGTGGTACTCTTGTATAACATACCTCGCGCCATCTCTTGATTCGTGCCACCACTTTTTGTTCGGACCACACCTCTTGGCGAAGATATCGCGGCTGTGTACACCCGAATCGTAAACATCGCACGCTTCGACGCGTTTACTTGGTTGCCTAACCATCAGGGAATTACAACCGATGAATAGCAAAAGTCATTAGCCCTGAATTTAAATTAATAACAAAAACACATTTTTCAACTTGTTTCAAATGTCCTCAAATTGAATAAAACAGAATTTTTGCGACAAAAGTACCCAAATAGAGAATTCAACAAATGGTGGATGCGCCGGGATAGTAACTTACGATACCAACCCAAAATCGTTCAAAGTAATATGTAAAAAAACACAGTAAATAGAGTGTTAATTTGATAATTACTTCTGCTGACCCTCTATTTCCCGGCGGCCGTCATATGCAATGTGACAAAAACTACTTACCGCATCAAATTTCAATTTTGAGTCAGAGCGGCTTGAAATTAACATGTTTTTGTATTGGCTGAATGAAAAATCAAATATGCCACACTTGGCAAAATTCAAAATTGATTCGTTGGTGATAAAGCAATTCATTCGGTAACAATTAATTTAAAATCACAAAAGACTCATCGACCGATTGATCGGTTTTAATAGAATGGAATTCACCATACTTCAAAATTAATTACTTAACAGGAAATTGTGGCAAAGTGCTGTTAGACTTGACAGTTAAATATATTCATTGATAAATAATTGGTTTTTAGGTGATAGAAAACTGATTGCAGATAAAACCAGCTGGTTTTATTAAATCAAGAGATTGTATCGTGTACGCCGTTAAAAAGTTTAAAGTGGCAATAAAAATTGGAGATAAAAAGTATGTACATAATAAAATTATAAGAGAAACGAAGTGTCTGTTACATTTTAACACTTTTTAAAGATTATGTTCAAGAAAATTATTACTTTTAATAGTAATCCATTTGTAAAATAAGCGCCAATAAACTACAAGTATAAATAAATATTTCACAGCTCGTATAATCTTTTTTATTTCACTTTTTTATCACATGTTAGAAGAAATTCAAGCGAAAAGACTGAATTAAAAGTTTCTCGTTTATAGCATACACTAGCAAATCGGATGGTCACTAAATTTTACAACCTTAATTAAAATAAATAAACTGCAACCAAATAATGATACCCCTTTCCGCTTTATGGACAGTAATGTAATTAAATTTTTTAGAACCCACTTAGAAGCTTTTTCAACTCGGCCCTCTTTATGACACATCTCAAGAAATGGCCCAAATTGAATACCTAGTATAATACATAATTAAAAGTTGGTCTAAAATATTAAAGTTTGATCATATTTTGCAGACATAAAATTCGTACAAATGTAAATGTTATTAAAAGTTTGTGTGTAGATTTGCTTTACTTCCTGCAGAACTAGTTAGTATAGTATTCCAAAGTTGGATTTAAAATTGAATAGAGTGCAGTTCTGCTCTATAATAAATAAAATAAGAAAGTGGTAACGCTGAAACCATCTTTCACGGTTGTTCTAGATTTGACATAATAAGTGTATTGTTGAAGGCTTTCCAAAATCCTTAATCTTTACCAGCGTGTAGAACATTTGACAGGTGACTATAGTTGTTAGGTTAAACAAAGCAGAAGAAGAGTTCTTTTTTCGGGTGAAACCAATTCGGATGCATCGGGGTGATGACCCACGATGGAAGCGGTGTTAATGTGGTAGTGTATCATTAGTAGGTCGCTCTCTTTGTCTGATAGTGGCGCCGGCGCCGCGACGCTCTACCACGCCCCATTTGGGCCATTCACCGCCAACTCTGATACGGTTACGGCCGGTAATGCACTTTATATGTAGTCGAGATCTGTTATCTCGGCCTTGGCTAATGATGCCTTTATGTTTTAAATTAGCGAAAGCTGTCGATCCATGTTCACTCTTCGAAAGATGTGACGAGCTTAACAAAAAGCGAGCGTTTTATTGCCGCAACAAATGTTTGTTGTTTATAGTTTGTTTTTCCGATACGTCTTGTTAGAAGGCGCCTTTTCCATCGCTGATTGCCAATGACGGCTGCAAGTTTTTATGTAAATATTTTCTTAAATGATTGCCAAGGAAAAACAGCCGACATGCAAATTTCAAGTGAAAGAAAAAGTCTGTTTAGATACAAATTTCATCCAGAAAAAATAAATAGCATCGAGTTTTACACACTAAAAAATTTCGGTAAATATTGCCAAAACAACCCCTGTTTTTACGCAACCTTTACCCAGAGTATATTTTACATAGTTGCTAGTTAAAAAATAAAGACAATCTACTTTAATAATATTTTGTTATATACAGGCTGTATTATAAAAAACGCCCCAAGCCATAATTTCATTATTTTAAAAACGTTACAATACTTTTTTTGCCCAAAGTTGAACAGTTTTTTTTTATCAATTGTTTGCTTGTCTTAGATACAATAAATAAAAATGTTCTATTCTTCCCACAGCCCACTTTATTTAGTATAATTTTCAAATTGCCTAAAATTAAAAGGTAGTCATAAATAATAGTAAGTGAGCTTTTTGAAAGACAATTTAATGAAGAATCCAAAAATAATAAAATATACAGGATGTTACATTACAAAAACTAAAATTATGTTACTTCCGGTGAAACAGGAAGCAAAATTGATTGAGCATCTATGCCAA